GATTATTATTTTAGAAATGTTTTATAATAATTATAGTATAAAAATATATTTATATATAATTTTATTTTCTTTTTTTACACTTTATTTTTTTACACTTTTTTTGTCAGTTTATATCAAGCAGTCACTATGACTGCGTGATAAATTACAGCAAACAATAACCTTAGAGACTGACCCTGACAGCATGTCAGAATCAGATCTCACTAAAGGTTTTTGATCGTGCCCAGCCAATCAGAAGTGATACATTTCAGGCACAGAGATACATTGTAATATTCCTGTGCCTGAAATGTATCATAAACATCAGGCCAGTCTATGGAGCTGTCAAAACAAATATCAGAGAGGGGACTCAATCCGCTACCTCTCTGCTATCTTCAGCTGTAAAATACCGGATCGCTACTTAGCGATCCGGTATTTGTATGTAACGGCTTCATTCTTTCATTAATGAAAGAAAGAAGCTTTTACAAAAGATTAACTATTTCATTAATGAATGCCTCAATACTGAGGCATTCATTAATGAATGGTAGCCACTGAGAATCAGAGGTTACCGGCATTACAGAGCCTCAAATAACTGGTCACGTACAGTGTACGTGGCCAGTCATATAGGCACTTCGTGGCGGGACGTACAGTGTACGTCCCCACATCATGAAGGGGTTAATAAACAATTCTACTGGTAGCAGTTATTTTCTTTTGTCTTTACATGACTATACAGACATATTCAAGTGAATGGTAAACACACAAAAATACACCCTGAAATATTCACTATTTTTAAATGTTTTTTATCCACTTTGCATAACACATGCACAAAAATGCACATTAACGTGCATGATGTACCTAAGTGTGTATTAAATGCGTGCAGTAATGTACGTCAAACATGTTTTACTGCCTTTGCATTGGTTTGAAAACGCACTACATCCTACTAACAACTACTTAGCAGCACATGTCTTTGTCCATTTGTAAATGTTGGCACCCTTTCTACAGATGAGGATGGTCAGATGGCCCCTTAAAATAGAGGCCATGTTCAAGAATGGTGTTCATTTTCCACAGTACAATATAATCAGTTTGTTGGTGATATGCAATGACCCAGCCTCTGCAGTGCATATAACGTCAGGTAACTCTTAGCTCTTTTAATGTCTTTTGCCTCCAATAACATAAAGAGGGTATACTGATAGGAGCAGGACGACAGGATCAACAGGACTCATTTAACATGTCACATTTCAAGTGAACCTATGCAGACATCTCCTTCCGGAAATGTTAATTGCCCAGCTGTCAAGTTTCACGCAGAAAGGGGAATTCTGCACACTTGTCCTAGGTCAATGACTCAGACTGAAAAGTTTTTGGTTTGAAAGCGCCAAGGACAATCCTTTTCCCTAACAGGGAAGGAATCGTGAGCACATATGCGAGGTGCAGCCCCAAAACAGTCAAGGGAACTGGAACATCTGAAAAAACACAAAAGAAGGGGCGCCTTTCCTAGTGCGGTATCGTTTATTCCAAAAAGACAGGCATAAAAGTGAACTGACAGGTACTCACAATACTGAAGATTAACCACGTCCTGACGAAGGGGGCGTGCCCCGGAAACGCATCAACACTTCAGTGCTTTACACAGGACACGCTATCCGGATCCTCTTATTGTTCTACAGCTTGTTTTAATCTTCAGTATTGTGAGTACCTGTCACTTTACTTTTATGCCTGTCTTTTTGGAATAAACGATACTGCACTAGGAAAGGCGCCCCTTCTTTTGTGTTTTTTCAATGACTCAGACTGTACTGAACCTAATAGGGTTAGCACTATGGTATCTTTAGAAGCGGGTTAGTAATAGCATTCTCACCATTTTGTAATGATCGATTTTTATTTTAAAAACTCAACTCACTTAGTTGAATGAGATCAGCTGTGTTGCAATACAAAGAATAGTACATATGTTTATGGAGTGGAGACAGACCCATGGCAAGACTTGACAAGCAACTTGCAAGCGTACTTTAAAATACACAGTGCAGGGCTGCACTGCTGCGTACAGAGTACAGATAGTACACCAGCAGCTGCAGACGGTAAGAAACATTTGCTGCAATTTAAAAGGTGGGGGAAGGCTTAGATTGGAGGGAGTAATTCTATTTTTCCAAATTCACCTGGGAAAGTGGAATTACCCTTTAAACACGTCAACCCACACCCTTGAACAGTTTACAAACAGAAGCCTTCCATGGATCTGTAAATTTGAGGTGATTGAGTGGCGTGGCAAGATTACAGGTGGTCATACACCTAATTCTCGGTCGGAAATCTTCGTTTCTGCCACAAACCCTTGTTCGATTATAGCTTGAATACCTCATCAAACATAGTCAAATGTCGATTTCGGAAATTAGCCATACTAACCAACCAATTTCTGACAACAGAAATAATCTATACAACAGAATAATCCATTGGGGAAACAAAATGTGGAGATGAGGCCCTAGTCCCCTCAACATTAGGACAAGGTGCCATGCAAAGGGGGAAGGTTTTGCTACCCCCGAACCCCCCGACAAGGTACCTTTCCAATGTTGAAAGGCATGTGGCCTGGTATGGTTCACAAAGTAGGGGGACATGCTCTGTGTCCTCCCTGTTCTATAACTTCATGTTTAGCTTTAAGGCATTCCTTAACCAGTTGACATCCGCGGTGTTAAACCCCCTTCCCATCCAGGCCATTTTTCAGTATTCAGCGCTGCGGTACTTTGACTGATGCTATGGACCCGCCGATCGCCTATATGTGAAACACCCGGTAACGGGTGTGTGCATTTAGCGGGTCTTTTCTGCCCGTGCGTGCCCGCTAGGGGGCGCGCGCGAGCAGAAAAAAATTGCCGTCTGGAGACGGCAACCCGCAGATGCTGCAGTGCCGTCCGTCCGTTTTTTTACTACGGGCGGACGGCAAGAGGTTAAGCATGTTATTTAGGCTACATGAAAAGACAGTCTCTCCGCTGAACTGTATTTTTTAGAAAATTACTTTGCATTGGCACATGTGCCCTGTGGCAGTGCTCTGGTACTCATATGCTTTTTTTTAGTTCTTTATTTTGATTATTCAAAGGACTGAGATAATAATATGATATAGTGAACATGGAACATCCAATACCGGTCTAATGTACAGACAGGTCAATGCCCTATGCATACATTGGAGTCTCTAATGTGCCTGAGCCTGTGTGCATTACATCATGTCACATCTTTGTCAGAGAAAGTTTGAGTGGCCTTCGAGCAATAGTGTAGAAGGGAAAATAGAATTTTATAGAATTGTTCTTTTTTATGGCGCACCACCACCATGATATTTACCATGGTTTTGATTTTGTTTACTTTACTTAGCCATACTACTCACAATAGAGTTGGATGCAGGCTTAAGCTGCATTCAGTAGATGTAATATAAGTGATTGTTAAGGGTGTGAGATGAAGGAGGATAGCAACTGCTTCATCTCCTATTTGGATTTCAGTTGGTCTGAAGGAGATCTCTTTTGCCAGCAGGGTGTTGTACATATCTTCCTGGAACACCACAGCACCCTGCCTCAATACTCATCTCAAGAGCACTCGGGCCCGATGCAAGTAGTGGGCTGGTACTTGGGAGGAGTTAAGCAAATATTAACATGCCTTGTTCGGTAGATGCCAGTCTGGAGAAATTGATGTTCCGGGCATAGTACATCTGTATAAAGAATGCCCTAAGTAATGCCCACATGTAATGCTGAGTCTCCATGATTGAAAGAACTGAAATACAAGTAATTAAAGAGGCAGAACAGGGACAGTAGGACTGGACAAGCAAGGGGCTAGTTGATGCTAGACATCCTCTTGCCAGGAAGAGAGGTGGACTCTATCTGACTTGCTGCCACGTCTGATGCACACTGTGAGAAGCTTGCAGTGTGCAGTGAAACCAGACAAATACATTTTAGAACAGAACAGGTGTCTGCATAACTGCACACGTCTGAAAGAAAGGCTGGAGTTCAACCTTTAACACCAATAAAAGCTTGAATTAGTGTCCCGTGTCTCTCCATAGTAAATGTGTTGGTTAGTTAATCTGTAACATAAATGAAGCATTCTTCTAATATTATTTTTGTTAATGAGATATTTTTCAATCTAATATTATTTTTGTTAATGAGATATTTTTCAATCTAACGTAATGGTGACCTCCTTGACTTCACAGACTTCTTCCGTAAATAGATCCCAATATATCAATAGACAGCTTGGCAGAATTCCCAGTATGCTAGTATAGGAACCACAGTCAGAAGTGGTCACAGTATTTATTTCATAACATCAAAGCTCATGTGGAAAATGTGCTTGAATCAAAACGCGGCGAGAATAGGCGGGATGTACTCCACCCAGCCTACACTGTATCACAGTCACTTCTTTTAACAAAACAAAGGAAAGCCAATCTGTTAAAGTCAGATACAGGCTTGAAAGGATCATTCTACCCAAAAGTAATACTTCATACTACAGATGGGGTCTGCTGGGCTAAGTCACCTAATGGCTTCTTATACCTCTTGAGGAGTCCAGCAGTGAGACCTCCCTGCCTTGTCCCTGGCTCTGTTCTCACCTCTGTAGTTTTAGGTGTAAATGCCATGGCAAGAGGGCAGACCTGACAGTACAAAGAACTTGTGACTGTAGTCCAATAAATATAATAACAAAAATATCTGGTTTAATAATCCATAGAAAAAAATGTGTGTATAACCAACATGGAAATATCAATTTTAGGTAGACCAACTCTTTAAAGCCCACATACAGCCTAAATGTTTTTGTTTTTGCTGTGGATAGACTGTAAAAAAAGCACATAGCAACAAAATCCCTTTCAAATGTAAAGATACAGGGTTTAAACCTCTGACAGGTACTTTCTGTGCTATGTGTTCCCCTCACATCCACCCCAGTGTAGATAAAGACATCGTTAACAGCCTAACAGACATTCTAATTCTTCCCTGCCTTATCAAAAGCTATTTAGATAAAGTAGTTTTGGCTAGAGTTGGGTGTTAAGGACCAAGAATAGGCACTAGGAAGCGTACATCACACCATACCTGCATTTAGTAGAGGCAGATTGTCAATCCCACTTAATGTTTCAGGTGACGAACACTCGCACACCAAAGCACACTGCAAAGACAGGAAAACAATGCATTTCAGACAACATTTTACAGTACTCCTCAGTAAAACAATAGATCTCTGTAAAGGAAACAATGGGCATTAAGATTATTTACACAGAATGCTTGTCCAAGGCCCTCTTAGCTGATAAACTACTCAAGTGTAGGTCACCCCTGACTTTAGAGACCAAGAGATCCTCTTGAATAACAGTCAACATGGTAGATGTGATCACATAAAGGGGCCATAGAATCATGCAACAAAGATTGTTTTGATTGTCCAACAAACAATAGGGGTAGAAAACACCTGTTTGAATAACCTTTATCTATTAGAAAAAAAACACAAATTTCCCCAAAAGGGGATCCCACCATTCTTTCAAAGTGTACGCAAAATAATTTATAAAAATATATATTCATTATAGGAATTTAAAAATGTATAACACATATATCAAAAGATAACAACAAGACATAGACCAACATATGTATATGGCTGCATTCTGTTAAAGATACTAAACAATGCTATAGAGAACAAACAGTAAGGGCATGCCCTGGAAAGGCCTTAATTCTATAGTAAATATGATATAATAGTATTAACCAGTAAATTAACTTTGGAGATAGTGTCTGTATATATACGAAAAAAGGAGCTCTGTAGTCAAAAAATTTATATTGAGGAAAAAGAAAAAGAAAAAAGGGAGAAAAAACGAACAGCCATCATCAATGTGTAATAAAAGATGGATGCTACCTCACAATGAGATTTATCCTCGTTTTAGAATCCGGTTTGAAGAGAAATAATGATGTTACTGCTACTCCGACTGGATCTGTTTTGCAGAATGTAGGTAGTACAGGAGATGTAGTTGTATCTCGGCTTTTGAGCTGATAGCTATAAATCAATGCCTTAACTGAACTCCAATGTAGATTCCATGGAATTTTGAATCCAGATCATGAGATACCATGTAGGTGGAAAAGATTTTCCTTGCTAAATCACTGTGGAGTAATTCGATATCCTCTTTTTTGTATGCACTGATACAGGGATCCAAAAAGATGTAGTCATCAGATATAACAAAAGCTGTAATGATAGCTGTGGTGGATTCAGGAGATGACCTTGTCTCGGCTTTTTTGGAGATATAAGCCTTTACTGAAGCCGCAGCGTCTTTGTCCTCGGTTTTCCATAGACGGACCTCCAATATGTTCTGGTAATTCAATGTGTAGGGTAGAAGTAACCCATGAAGGGTATATCAGGCAAATCACAGGGCAGCCTCCAACAATGCAGCCACATTAAAAGAACCTCTACTAAACACCTATGACGCGTTTCACCCACTCCCACACCGGGGCTTCATCAGAAGGGCATTACAATTAGGGATGAGCTCTGGTTCGTATTAGACCTGAGTTAATCCGAACCCGTAAGGAGCCCCTCCCAAACACAGAAGGAAGCTCCTTCCGTGCCACATCAGCTCCTGGTTGGGTATTCCTTGGCCTTAGCTGGACGTAAGCAAAGGGGCAAGATGCAGTGATATCATTGAACTTACATGGCTATATGCCTATTTGCCTATATTTACCTAATATGGCTATGTGGCCATATTAGGTAATTGATATCAGCACAAGCATCCCATCCCTTTGTATACAGTTGTGTGGTGGGGAATGCTTGGCTCGTAGCTGATTGGGTGAAGTGCCCTTGGCACTTCCTGCTTTGGAGGAGCTCAGATTCATTATTTATAAACTTTAATTTTTCTTTGCGTAGTTCATAACAAAATTATGTTCACAGGACACTTGAGTTTTGGTAAGACTATTTTAAAGCAGACCTCACTGCTTTGAATGCTGAATAGTAAACACTGTACAGTTCTATGTAAAGTAAGCATTCTTTCTGTAAACTTACACTTCTGTTTCTACTTCTGGCTTTTGGTGATACAGCCAGTGCCTCTCAGCTACCCGCTGGGAAGGCTATGTCACCAGTATCTTCCAGGGAGCTCTGTCAGGTAAACTGCAAAATCTCATAGGATCTTAGGAACAAGTCCATATAAATGTTTTAAGTTTCTTGCTTACACTTTTCCAAAGTGTCAGGTGGCATAATGATGCTCACATTGCTAAAACCATGGCGACAGTGAAACATAAACAGATCTTGCCAGATTTTATAAAGAGCATGTACGAGATCTGGTGCAGTAGTCGTCAGTGGGCCGGCCCTATGAATGAAAAGGAAGAAGCCAGCCGCCGTTGACGCATATATTTTTAAAATGGTGGCATGGAATTTCCAGCATGGGGTGGATGAAGCATTGGAAGTTTGGGAAATAGACACTAAAGAGGCAAGAAGCAAAAATAACATTTCTGTTTTTCCATATTGCCTTATTAATGTTGTTTATTAAAAGGGGAGGAGGTTCACTTTAAAGAATAAGTGCACTTTCCAATAACGTGCCCTTGCTCTTCAAAGCATATTTATATTACCTAATGCAGACTGGAGATGCTGAAGAGATGGCCCTATTCATCTTTGTGGAACCAAATTGCGCAGACACGGTCAGGGAAGACAACAGATATTTTCAAAGGATGTAAACAAAGCAACGGCCTGGGGAGGGCCATAGCAATTACCGCAACGTATGTTTAGATCTAAGTTCTGCATTAGCTGGTATAAATAAGCTCATGAGTGCAAAGGCACTTTAGTCAAGGAGAAGTTAAAACATGGATCAACTGTTTGTTTTTACCTTACCGCGCGGTCATACTGAGCAGGTAGACTGTGCTCAATGTTTATCATGTTTAAATCAAAGTTTGAATCTTGAGGTTTAATTTTTAATTGTGGAATAAATTTTAAAACAAAATTGGATATTTCTCTAAAATATTCAGTGGTACTTTTCTTGTGCACCATATGTCACCTTTATTTCAGAAAACATATAGTTGTATCATATAAATACATATTGTATAATAACTGTGTTTCCAGTATGGGCTCAAAATTCAATCTCTATATTTTATTGTAAATCTTTGAAGCGTTGGTTGATTGGTAAAATGTTTTTCAAAAGCTCAACATGCTCATAGACTTCTACCATATACAGTACTTGATCATGAATCAAAGTGATTTTTTGTGAAAAGATATATATGCAAGCAGGTGTAGCAAAGCATGATCTTTATTATCGTCTGTAATCTAATTGCTATGCAAATTGGCTCAGCTGATGAAAAATATTTTTAAGATACGTGCCCAAGAAGAACATTTTACCTATTGATAAAAACACAGCTGGAGCATAATTTTAGATATTCTCCTTTTGCAGATATTCAGGTCTGAATAATTCAAATCAAAGCAACATTTGACAGTATAATAAGAAATGAGCACTTTTTTTTCCCTAAAGTTTGACACCTAGGAAATATTAGAGTAGAATAATAAAAAAAAGATCAGTCACATTGGAGAGAAATGATAATGAGAGCGCAGTATAGAAATAAAATCTAAAAAGGCAGAACATTTAAAGTCCACCCAAAACTGATGTTTCAATTCTGGGTAACATCTGTGAACTTAATCACCAGAATCTATTACCTCTTAAACTGAACCTGATGTTAAAAACATACATACACAGATTTTACCTTCAGGGAAAACTGTATATCAAATGATTAGAATATTCAGAGACATACATGTAGGCATCTGAATCAATGTGCAAATATCATGTTTTACTGTGAAAGTTGAGCTTGACCCCATTCCCTGCAGCTTTCCAAGACTTCCTATTGGCCAAAAAGGTTGCATGTCACATTAAAGGACAAAGATACTGAAGGGAGAAGCCTCAAGATCCACTTTTATTAGAAAAAGTCCAGACCTGCAAATAATTTCAGCTGTTTATATCTCTGGATCTACTAATTGCTTCTTTACTAAAGGAAACCTCTGCTTATGCATTTTGTTCTTAGTCAAAGTTGCCCGCATTTAAGAAAGGTTCACTTTAAAGTAGATGTTTCTTTACAGTTCAAACTTAGTTAGATTAATCAATTTGTCTACATGATCAAATCTAATTTTCAGTGGAGAGAGACCTTGTCTGCCAGACATGTAATGATATAGGAGCATCAGCAAGCTACACAGAAACAAGAGGCTGGGGTCTATTCACTAAGCTGCCGTAAGCAGCCGAGTGAATGACCGACCTGAATTGAAGTGAGCCGAACACTGTTCGGTTATTCACTTCAGGCTGGTACTAGCTTCGGCTTTCAGCACGGCTCAGCCGAGCCGATGCATATGCATTCGGCTCGACTGAGCCGCTCGGCCATGATCGGGAGCTGTACGGGCTATTGTGAATAGCCCGTACAGCACCCCTTCGGTTCTACTGAACCGAAGGGGTCCTGGGGCCGAAGCTAGCCGAAGGATCGGCCGAAGCTACGGTCCAGATCCTTCGGCAGCTTCGTGAATAGACCCCTCTGTGTATATAGTGAGCAAATATTTCTGCCCCTTTGTGCCAATACAATAACAAGCTAAACAAAAAAACACAGTTTTAATACATTAACACATTCAAAAAGATTGTTTATATTGGGCTGATCTCTTAAACATGTAAACAAATATTTAAGCAGCTATGCAAAACGTAGAGGTCACTTTTGGGTAGAGTTCACTTTTATGATGACAGCAGTTTTTACATAAAACTGGCTTTATCATATGATCAACCTGGTCAATCAGAACAATCACATTCTAGCAAACCCATCAGCAGTCCCAGCCTCTGCAATTGTAAAAAGCAGTGGTTCTTAACCTGTGTAACCTCAGGACCCACATTTGTCCTCAGTCATTAAGTCATGACTTAAGTCGCACTGCAATGGAACTCACGGCAGTGTGGGCTGCTATAGATCGGAGCTCGATCTATAGGTGTATTGCTTGTATAGCTCCCATGTGAAATCCAAAATTAACAGTTTTCACTAGAAAAAGAGGCTAGGATAAACCTTTCAATGGAGACACTTGTTCTGATGACAACTGGGGAATTTCCTAACCTCCAGTTGCATCTCCATGACAGAAATTAATGTGATGTTTGCTCAACAGGACACAGAATAAAATAAACAAGCAAGAGTATAAGGTCTTGTTCACACCATCACTAGATCATGTCCAGACCAGAACAGTTTGTTCCTGGACCAAAAAAGCATCCTAATGTATCCCTAAGGTATTTCTAGGATCTATTCACACCAGCAGAGTCCGTTCCGGACCATTCCAAAAAAATACTGCTTGTCTAATTTTCTCTGGTCTAGAATGCACTGGGACACAAGTAAACACATAAAAAAGCATACAAATGCATGCAACCGCACTGGAACACATTTTAAGCTAAAACAAAAAACAAAAACCAATAAAACAACACTCCGGAACGAGGCAAAATGCAATGCACCGCATTCCAGATCTGGTCTGGAATATGGTGTGAACCTGGCTTAATCCCTACTCTATCCAAAACTAATAAAATGTTTTCACTACATATACACTTTAGGAAAAAAAAATATCCTGGAGATACAGTACACTACATGCCAATAATGTGAACCCCTATAAACCAGATGACCAACATCATTTTTAAGAATGGACAGAAACCGAGCAACAACTTACTGTGGCTGAGTTCCAAAAACAGAAAAAAACAAAGTGGCACCAAGAAAGTAGCAAACCCATCCTCCTTCTTGTGTTTTTGTTTAAAAAAAAAAGACTAAAGGGATATATTCACATTAGTTTCCTGAGTTTGAACTATTTTAAATTTAAATGTACCTTAATTTACATGTGTTTAAATGTACCCAGAGTATCTAATCACCCAGGGTATCTAATAAAGCTAAACTGTATGCTGCTTTAAATTATACCATGTTAAAATCATTACATGTACATGCATTTACAATTGTTCTATAAACGCCTATCAATGCATGCATGTTACCGTCAGTGAAAAATTATGCCTAAAACAGGACTGCAAACAATTGCACATCACCAAGATGGTTACTACCTTTTGTCCTTGTGCGTCTGTCGTGATGTGATCCGCTTCCCCATTCTGTATCTCCCCCATCTTCACCAAACTCACTTCAATACTTCCAATTTTCTTTCTACCATTTAAGGTTCTGTAACACACAAACAAGTATAGATATGTAAGACAAAAATATAAACCATAACAGTAACAACAATGATACATAATTTGTTGTAAAACAAACATGATATTATAAACAGAAAGCAGTAAATCCCGCACAGGATTTGAAATCTTCTTTCATAGAAGTGGTTTTTGAAATGCAATAATAAAACAAAAAGAAAAAAAACTCTGTTACTTGTTCGGTTTGTGAAAATTGTTTCCAGTCTCAGTTTTGCTATTGTCATTGCATACAATCCAGGACACATATGCATCTAGACTAACAGAAGAGGATTAAACAGGTAATCATTCCAGAGACCGTCCCTTTCCCAGAAATACGGAACCACCTCAGTTTGGCAGGAGACCAGGATTTACCTACAAGACTGTAACAGGAAAACTACCAGATTAAATATCCAGCTTGCCCTGCCAAAATCATGAATATAGTGTTACTTTCCAGCTGAGGGCATTGTAAAATGCCGTACAATACATCAATTTTGTTGTTGACATACTGACATTGTAACCAACCAAAATGAGATTCAGTGTATGAACCTTTTAAAAACGATATCATATCAAGTTTGATTAGGCTGTACAGAGCATAACAGAAAAGGCACAGCCAGTAGAATGCTAAGACGTGAGAGAAATATGCTTTTCTCAAGTGTGTCTCTAAAATCAGTGTCCACATATTCCCCTTGCTTAACAGTCTCTGAGGGGAATTTATCAAATCTGGAGAAGAGATCTGGAGAAGCTGTGCATGGCAACCAATCAGCATCCACCTTTCATTTTCAAATCTTAACAGAACAAAGTGAAGAGATAAGCTGATTGGTTTCCATGGGCAACTGCTCCAGATTTTGTCTGCTCCAGTTTTGACATGACACCGCACGTGCTCGGCTGTTCTGCTCGGTCAGAGGGACCGAGCAGAACAGAAAAATAGTTTAAAAAGTTGAAAAAAGTAAATAGAAAACGATTGTGCGGAGCTAGCAGTGACAGCTAGCTCCGCCCAATAGTTTTCTATTGTCCGGTGGCAATAGAAAAAAAAATATCCCGGGTGCTCTGGGAGCCTTTCGCTCCCGGCCGCCCAGGAGAGAAACACTGATTTTTCTTTATTCTGACACAGAGTCGTGTCAGAATAGAAATTTAAAAAAAAAAAACGTTTTTGCCCATTGGAGTGCATTGCTAGATTCCTATTGGCTATTTCAATTTGCAATAGTCAACTAGCATTGTACCCGCCCGTAGCCCGAACAGCACCCCTTCGGTTCTACTGAACCGAAGGGGTCATGGGGCCGAAGCTAGCCAAAGGATCGGCCGAAGCCACGGCTAGATCCTTCGGCAGCTTAGTGAATAGACCCCATAGTCTCAGAATAAAAATTGTTCCCTTTCACCTTTATGAGGAGCTTTGAAGAGCTCGGCTCTGGACTTTCATATAATGAATATCATTTTTGTTTTAGTTAATACTAGTTAATATTTTTGTTACTGCCCAGCTATTTTTTTGCTGTTGCTCAGTTAAACTAACTCTTCACTCCATATAATATCAAATATAAAACTTGCATTTTTCCTAGCAAGCCACTAGAGATGAGCTATTAATGAAAAATCTGCTCTGTCGGCAATTTTCCTGATCTTGTGATTTTATCAGCCGTGTTTGCTAGTACATATCTACCAGTATTTAATATAACTGGCTTTTCTCATTTTCTTTCGTTTGACAGTTTAATTTTTGCATAGGAAAATACTGAAACTGAATAAAACCAGCTCAGTAAACTTGGTATATGGCCTTGTGTTTTTATGACTAGAGGGCTATGAGCATGTGTGGTTCCCGATAAACTGTAGCCTTCCACAACAATGATGCTAAAAGTGGTGATGTGGGTGATGAGAGAGTGCTTTGGTAAATTTCCAATTACAAACTAGGTATGCTCAGACAACCCAATCTAGAGTTAAATCTAGAGGGTTATGTGTTTTTGTCTACTATGACTGACTCTAGTATTATAACTGGACACAGACCTCACAGAGGATTCCCAGAGTGTCACATTTAAAGTGAAACTGCAGTTTTGAAAAATACCCTACCACCCTCTTACCTCATAAAATGTATAAATAGAATTACAGACCCCATATGTTAACATCATCCCATTGCCCAGCGTTAATATCAGCTCCTCTCCCAGGTCCTTGAGCATGCCCTGGGACCAGACATTGAGAATAATGTCAACCCCATGCTTGCTCCAAGCTAAACACAAACGAAACACTGCCCAGCCTGTCCAGTGTTTATATCTGACCCTCTCCCAAGTCCTTGAACATGCTTTGGGACCAGTCATGGAGAATAATTTTCATCCCAGAGGCATGTACCAAGCAAAACACAGGTCAGCCATTCTTCTCCAAGGTCAGGCCTGGAACATGCATAGGGACCTGGAAAGTAAGCTATAGAAATATAAGGCAATACAGGATGTAAACAATGTGTGGCCTTAGGCAGGCCAGACATTGACAAGATCGATATGTTTGCACATATTCTTTATAACTTTACTATATTATTCAGAAAGGCAGGCAAAGGTGGAAGGGTGCAACAACATTTGTGTGCAACGTGCCAAGTGTTTTATCCTATTGCAACATCAACATTCCTCTCTCAATAAACTGATATGGTAAACTGAAACTAGAATAACTGGTTGATACATATTATTGCATTTTGGACAAAATCATTGCTCTTTTCACTGCCTTATCACATAAGCCCAATGGAATGCAGACTTACAATTAATGTTCTTGTTTGGAAGGAAAGCAGCAACTTTGAATCAGAAGATCACTCCTCAGAGATCATTCTTTCACCTTTCTGCACACAAATACAGATAAACTGCGTGACTACATCAGCTGCAGCAATTTCCTGCATCCTATTTATGTTTTAGATGGCTGCTGAAGGTCACTGCTGAGCTGATTGTGAGAAGAACATGGTGCTTTAATTTAGCACTCTACATAGAGCTCTATGAAAGCCACAAATTCTGTGTTCTGAGGATTACTCTCAATCTCTGTTTCTAGGAACTGGCGATGTCATATAGATTTAACAGGAGTTTGATGTAGCTTATTCCAAAAATGGACAGAAAGAAGGCAGGTGTTCCAGGAGTTACAAAAGCCAACACGCAACATCATATATTATAAAGCCCAAGATAACATTAACCCTTAAAATATTATGAAAGCCTTACAGTAACTGTACAGGTTTAATAGGATCCACTATCGCTACAAACCTTTTCAATCAATGGTAAGCAGTGATTGCCTGGGGAATATTTATCTATTGTTTTGGTTGGATTTCATAAGCTATTAAAATGTTTGCAATAATAAGTCAGAGCAATAAAAAGTATAAGCTTTTGAACCACTGGATGAACAGGCAGGCTAGGTGGTATAAGTTAGCATATTTGGGCAGTACGTTATGGAAAAATGTGGACATGCTGCATTTTTTCGCAACACACTGGGGCGCACCTGAAGTGAGCACCGGTCACAGCAATACAGTAAAATGTGAATAAAATGTAACTTTGACATTTTAAATAAAAGTTTGAAATTGTGTGCATTGTAACAACACATGGCACTGTCATAGAATGGACACCGATCAGCATGCTAAAATGTTCAATTTTAGTGTGCAAGAACATGTGAATGTACCCTCAAAATAAACATTTAACACATTTTCTTAGACATCCCAATCGGTTCCTGGACCTGCTTCCTGCAAAGCCTCCCTGCCTCTATATTCTCCCACCTCACTATGGGGGGCCCTTCTAAAGGCATTCTCTTCGGTTTGCAGTAAATTTGCAAACTCTACCATGGCAAGTCCTCTAACCCCTCCGCAGGAAAACTCAGAGTTCCCCTTGGTCAGTCCCACAACTTACTCTTGGTCTAACACCTGACTCTAACTCATGGCCCAAACATTCTTCAACAAGGGGAAAATTACGGACTTATATGCTCTTAATGCACTAAATACAAACAACTCAGTGTCAGCAGCCTTAAGTATTCTTAAGGGTATTCATAAAACTCTCCAATATGTTAAAAGTGTTTGTGGTCTTGCTTCTTTTGATAGTTTATATCCACTCCATTGTAGTTTTTCCGTATTCAGTCTGAAAGATGTAGTTTGTAAACATATCTACATATGTGGGATTGATCCCTAGTCACTTAAAATGAAGGAAAAAATTCAGTATCACCTGCTTTCTCATTTGCTTCTGCATCTGGTATTTAGTGAGAAAACTGTGTTGCTTTGATAAGTTCCCCTCTTCTCCTGCTCTCACTGTGTGCCTCTGAATTTTTACTGAAGAGCATTGCAACAGGCACACTTCCTATCTGCAAACACCCAGTCTCCAAGAAGACACAATGACTGTCTTTGATCCGCCCCCTGCACAACAGGGGGTGTCATTTGCTGGTACTGTGTTCTATGTGGTGCCCAGAACTTCTCAACCACTGGCCTCCCTCCTTCTGAGCCACAGCTTCGGGGAAGGCTAGGACCAAGAGCAGATGTGGCTGGAACCCCTGTAGTATGTTTGTGTTGCCTGTCCATTCAGGCCCCTGTCAGAGAGGCACTTGCTGTGAGAAATGACAGCTGGAATTAATGAAATAGCCATGGTCCTGCAGTTCCCTGGGAGTAATGTGTAAACACAAGCCGTAACCATCAAAACACTGTGAAGCACCTGACAGCTTTAGATTTTCCTGATTGGCTTCAGCTCCAAAGTGTCTGATTGGTTACACATTTAAAATGCCAAACATTACTTTAAAATACAGTAGTCCTCTAATTTTACACAATAATTATCTGCACCAGTGCCAGTGCAAATACAACAGCTACTAGGCACTATAAATCAAGAACAGCAAATATATATAAACTATCATGTGCCGTCCTCTAATTTTATTGGTGGTAACGTCACCAACATCTCTCTAGCATTGGCACAGATGCAGCATCCAGCCAAGCTAAACAACACTTGGCTGGTTTAGTTTGTGGTGACAGCATGACTTGACAGGAGGCATTCTCAAACTCATCCTGTAGTCCCAGTGCAG